GACGCTGGTGACTGATGTAGTTTAGCTTACTACAAGCATCCCTCCTTCACCCTTTACTCTATTCCGGCAAGTAATTTTGTTCATGTAACAGAGAATCTTGTAACTATTTAATTCAGTTACAGTGTTGCCATTGTGATTCTTGAACTATTCTTTGGGAAGATTGCTATAATACAATTTTACCCTTCTCCTTAGGAAAAATTGGAGGCATGAAGAAATCTTTCCCAGGGGTTTTAGATCTGTGTGTGTCATTGTTTGGTGTATGTTTAGACTGAAGCAATATTGGAAGTTGAGAAGGGGGAATCCGTGAAGGAATATACATAGGTATTTGTTTGATAATAAGCAAATTTCCCATGTAATAGACCCTGAGTACCTTCTGCTTTAGTATTAACCATGGTTAAAGTAAAAGGTAAAAGAAAAAAAAAAATTGACAAAGGTTATTTGTAGGTTTGGGAAGAACATTAGGTACAAGATTCTTTGTCTTAGTAGGGACTTAGAAAAGTTTATGAAAAATTAGAATTAAAATATGAGTTTATTCTAGTGTAAAAAATTTTAAATAAGTAAATAAACTTAAAAAATAGTATCTTATAGTTATTATTTATTCCAGGAATGAAAGTATGGTCCAATAACAGAAAATCTATTAATATAAGTTTATAAAATACACTAAATGATTGAAAACAATCACCTTGTCTCGACAGAGCAAAATAAACAATTGCTGTGGCCGGGTCACTTTTGTCTTCCTGAAAGTGGCCAGGAGAACTCTTCTTTTTTTAGGGCCTTTCACTTACCTTAAGATATTTTCACTGATTGAAAAGACCCTTTCTTCTAATCCCTGCTTGAAACAATGTTTTGGTTTTAAATGTCTAACCAGCTGTATAGATTAATCCCAAGTATGGTACCTGACAAACATAAAGTGTTTTAGAAACCTAATCTACTTTGTCTATAAAAGAAAAAAAAAGTTTGTAAAGATAAGTTAAAAACTTAGTAATTGTGATCAGTACACAGGGGCAAGGGAATGCCTTGCTGTGTCAATAAAGTGACAATTTGTATTTACGTTGTTACTTGTCTAAACTACAAATTGCTGGAACATTAGCAAAAATCAGTAATTTTCAAGACCACACATGGTGTAGTGGTTGTAGCACTGGACTCCCACATGGCTAACTACAATTTGAGTCTCAGACTCAAATTGAGGCTTCAGATACTCTGAGGTGGCAAGTGGCATGAGGGTTGGGGACTGGACTCCCATATGGCCGACCATGGTTCAAGTCCTGGAACTGGTAGCTTGAATATCACGCTGGGCAAATGAAAGAAAGAACTTTCCCTTTCTTTCTCTCTCTTTCTGGACAAATTAAAAAATAATAACAAATAAAGTCAAATACATAAATAATTTTAAAAAGAAAAAGAAACCCCTGGGCATATGTGTGTGCATGCCCCAAATCCTGAGAGAATAGTAGAGAAGAAGGGATTTCAGCCTAGCCACTCCCCTGAGAGGTGATTTCTCACTTTTTGTCTGTGTCTTTGGTGAGGGCATAAGCCCTATAGCAAAAATCTGTAAAAATCAAAATAAAACAAAGCACAATCAATAATTGTTTTCCATCATCTTGAATACTTTACTATCTGAGCCAATCATCAAAAACCTGATGATTGCTTTGATATTTGCAAATTCAGTTAACCCATCCTCTACCTATAGAGAAATCAGATAACTGAAAAACTTGCCTTGCATAGACCTCTTAGCCCTTCATCATAAAAGTGTAGGACTAATGGAACAAGCAGTTGGCATAATGGCTATGTCACTGGACTCCCAAGTAGTCAACTGTGATTCGAGTCCTGGATCTGGTGGCTTAAACTCATGCTGGGTGCATGTGCGTGTATGCCCTAGATCCTGGGAGGGGAATGGAGGAGAAGGGATAGTGGCATGGCCATCACCCTTGGGGGGGTGATTTCTCACTTTCTGTCTCTCTGTCTCTGTCCTTCTGGCAAGCGCATGTACCCTATAGCAAAAACCTCTCAAAAAAAAAATCAGTATCAAAATCAAAAAATGATTTAGATAGGGACAACTATTCATTTACAATGTCCAACCAATGCCTCCTTACTGTATGACCTTGGACAACCAAAATTTCAGTTTTTTCTTCTTCAGTATTTGGCTAATTACTACACGTATATCATAAGGTTGGTGTAAGTATTAAGATAAGGTAGATATATAGATTATTCTTCACATTGTGAAGGCATAATTAACATTGAATCAATGCTTGCTAATATCAAATACAACTGGGCCAAAAGAATGGTTTCCCTTAACTTATAGCATAAATTACTCTTCCCAGTTCAGATATTCCCCTTCTGTGTGTGGCCAACACCATGTGGTCATTTTCCACAGTGTGACAGAGAAAACACTCTTAACTAATAACCTAAAAGATATTAACAATTGAACTTTCAATCTTTAAAGAACTTCTGTTGTGAAAAATGTTAAATGTATACATTTTACCTGTGATTAGACTCTTTCTCCTCCTAAAAGTGTGGGAATAAGAGAATATTCAGGAGGGACTTTGGGATTGTGCAGACTTCCCTCCAAAGAAATTTTGAAACCATTTACCAAATAGCAATTGGTATGGACGACACTATGATAACATTTTTATTAGAATTTCAAAAAATAATCCCTACAGTATACTGCATATATAACAATATAGGAAAATAAATTGATGTGATCTCATGATGTAAATTGATTACAATGTTGCCCTTTAGAATTGTGGTTTTACATTTTTTTTTCTTTTGGTAAATCTTTGAGTTATTTCTCTGAAGTCTGGCTCTATATCTTTGGGAGGTTACACATAATATTGTCATTCTAGGAATTTCAGTTTAATAAATTTAGTTTAGTAAATACTAGGGTAGAAGTTGGAATTTTTTCCATCTTCCACTTTTTGTTTGCAAAGCTACTTGTTATTGCTTCTATCCATTCCTCCTGTTAATGATGTATGAATTCATTAAGGGTAACAAGATAACATGAAAAAATAAATGATAAAGGCAGCAAATCTCTGTTTAATTCTTCATTCTGTCATTGAAGTAGCTTGCTGTGACTTTCTGCAATATTTTTCTGAGTATTACCTCTCTAATCGCCAAATTAGAAAACACCACCCTATTAATTAGGAAGATTAAATAATACATCATAAAGTACTGGTGTTTCATGGAAAACTCAACATAGCAGTGGCTATCTCCTGCTTCATTGGCACCCAAAGATAAATTAGTATTCATCATTACTGAGGGCATGCCTTCACAAATATTTTGTCATTTAGAGCTTCATATATGCATTTGAAACAGGTGTCAAACAGCAGTGAAACGCTGCGTGCGCGCGCGCGTGTGTGTGTGTGTGTGTGTGTGTGTGTGTGTGTACCCAAGATCCCAAGAGGAGAATGGAGAAGGGAATGGGGCGTGGCCATCCCCCCTGGGGGATGATCTCTCACTTTCTGTCTCTCTGTCTCTCTCTGTCTGGAGAGCGCACATGCCCTATAGCAAAAACCTCTCCAATAAATAAATAAATAAATAAATAAATAAGAAAACAGCAGTGAAAAAGTATGAGGGAAATACTTTTAGTACCTTTTGGTACTACGGTAAACCATCATAGCAAGCATACAGATAGTAGGTTTCTCACAGGTAAGCCTAATCCTGATTACATAAGACATTCTATTGTTTTAAATTCTTCTCACTTGTCATTGGTATTATCTCTACTGTATTTCAGCTTGCATATATAATATAAACATGAATATCTGCCTCTCACTGATATGCAGAATACAAACCAAATTATGTAAGATGTTCTATAAGAGATTTATTGTAACTTTTATTTTTTACTTTGGTGTATCTATCAAAAGGCATTTAATTTACGCGTGGAAGTGGGGGGAAGGGAATTACATGGGGCCTAAATTTAACTTAATTTTTTAATATTCAATTTTTTTAAAGGTGGGATTGGAAGCGAGGCTGAGAAAAAGCTCTGTTGGCTGCTTTAAAAGCAAAGGATTAGCAGCAGTGTTCTGACCTGAAATTGTGGTCTTGTGATTTCTTTCCAGGAGATTTTTCGCTGCATGAAAAATGTCTGTAATGGCTTTATTATTTAATTCAATCTTAATTGGATACAAACCGTCAAAATCCAAGAGATTGTTGGAAGGCCTAAAAGTGCACAAAGGTATTTCTGAAATAATATTAATCACCTGGAAGTGAAAAAAATACTTCGCCAAGCCACTGAACCTTTCTGCTATAGCACATTCTGGGTTCATTTTACTTTTCTTTCAAATTTGGAAAGTTTCAAGTATTGAATATTTAATCTCTACAGCACATGTCTGGTTTAGGGGACAGCTCAGCCATTTTCAAAAGGCTAAGCTTTGTGTTCAGATAGGTATATGTTAGGGACACTCCGCGTGGCTTAATTATGACCATTCCTTGATTGCCAAAACTGGTAAGTCAGTCTTCCTCTCTGTAAGAGGTACTTTAGAGAAGAGGAGGATACGGAGAGACCAACACAGGGTGAGGACCGGTCCCCTAAAATAGCCCGTTTTTAGCCTTGGCCAGAATCACTGCCTATCAAGCTACTGTTTGATGGGGAAGCAAATGCTCAATATTTTCCTTTCTCTCTCCCTCTCTCTCTCTCTATTTATTTTTTTCCAAGATATGTAAATGACCAGCCTGGGGAGAAAGCTAGAGCATGGAGTTATTTTTTTCCCATTTCTTACAGTCCCCCCACTGACTCTTGGAGAATAGAGGGTGAGAGGTAGGATCATTCCTATTGTTATTTTCGCAGAGACAAAGGCAGGGGGCGGACAACTCGTGCCCATCCTTCCGGCTGGGTGGGCTGGGGGAAGACGCGCTGGCTGGGAGAATGCGTGTTGTTTTGCTCCCAGCCAGCTTCCCCAGGTCCACCCCGCATCCCGCGGGCCCAGCCTCAGGCGCAGGGAGGACGCGGTGAGGCAGCCGCAGGGGCCTCTTCGTCAACGCCTCCGTCACACCCTCACTCACACACACATACACGCGCGCGCACCCGCACCCGCGCGCCTGCATCCCGTGCTGTCTCCCTGGCAGACACACAGGCGCTCTCGAGTTTCTCCTGGCCAGCCCGCAGGGCAGAGACCCCCTAACCCAGCCCCAGTCCGCCCTTGGCCAGCAGCCGCTTCACTCGGGACCGCTCCCTGGAGGCCTCGGTCACAGCCATCTGGCCCCGACCCTTCCGTGACTGCTGCTGCTGCTGTCGCCGGGACGTGGAAGCTGCAAGGGGCACTGGGTCACGACAGACTCACGGTAATGGCACGTTCTATGCTGAGTGCACAATTGGGGGGTGAGGCAGGGCTCCCCCCATTAGACACCCGGGAGCTCGGAGATCCAGAACCAGAGTGGAATTGATGCATGGGTGCTGGGAAGGACTGAGACAGTGTCCTGGGGTGGGAGGAGGAAGGGCCACTCTAACGCCCTGCGAGGGCGAAGCTGGGTGGGCGGGCGACCCTCCAGGCTCTGTGTCCTGCACCTGTGCCCTATCTGCGGCGAGAGGCGGCACATGCCGGGGAAGCACATGGGTGGAAACGTGCCGCCATCCTTGCTTCTTTCCATCGTGGAAACTACCCATGGCATCCGCGGAGACCCGCTCGTTTCCAAGTCGAGTCGGGGGTGGAGGGTGGAGTCCGACTCGGGAAGTCCGAGAGGAAACTTGGGAGGGTCGGGGCGGAGGCTCTCCAGAGGTGAATTGGAAGCGGTTGCTCTTGCGGGTGGGCTATGGGGCGGGGAGAGCAGCTGGCCTCCTTCCCCATTCGCTTTTGGTCCTTTGCAACCGGAGAAGGCGACTCCCGAGGGCAGAGTATTTTCACGTGATCCCAATTCCCTTTTGCCCAAGGCAGCCCGTGATAAGCAGCCCGAAAGTGGGGCCTTTCGCTCGAGTAAGGCACGTGGCTGCTGGAGAAAGCACAGCGGGCGCCTTTCTGCGCATCCAGGAATCTGAGGAGTGTGGCGGTGAGGGTGGTGATGCAGGCATTTTAAGGAGAGGATGCAATGGAGTTGGAAACCCGATCGTTTCTACATTGCGTTCCCTGGGCTGGTCTGAGCAAGGCTCGGGCAGAAAACGAGCTCTAAGTAGGGGAGAGCCTTTCAGTCTTAACTTGCACACCAGCCTTACAGATTTGAATGAATCAAACGCCCGAGGCGTCCCGGGGGCTGATGTGACCCACCCTGTCCCAGAGACTGCAGGGCAGGGAATTCTTTTCCTTTGAGTCGAGAAGCGCCTACTAATGTGCGTTAGCGGACCGTGAAGCCCGCAGGCTGGAGCTTTCTAGTGTCTCGCGTTCCCTTTCCACCATCCACCTCCCCTCTTTGGGAACGGCTGGAGTAAGACCGGGCGGGGTCCGGGCTTGGGCGCGGTGACGTCAGCAGTGTTTGGGTGCTTATGCAAATGAGACTGCGACCGTTTCTGCGGGTCTGTCCGTTCTTCCCACCGGGTCTTAAAGGTGGATTCAGTCTTGTTTCTGCATGGTTTGTGCGGTTACTACCCAAGACGTTTGAGAGCAATGGAGATTTTGCTAATGTGCCGCGTTTGGGCTCCTCATCGCTCTTTCTATAAAAGCCCTTTTAGACCTGCCAATGCCTGGTTGCTTTTCCTGCGTGCAGGGAACAAGTGTGTTGGGGTAACCACCATTCTCTGCCGATGCAGCACCATTGAGCTCCTCACCCCACCCAGACTAGTTATCTGCAAGAGCAAGGCTGAGATAGAGACCGCCTAGTACTGGCCTGGACTGTAGATACTTCCTAAGTTCTTGATGGTGGACTGAATTTTGACGTGCTTTATTCCTCTCACTTTACAATCGGGATATTCGACCCTCAGGATCAGAAGATACTATTTCTGTGGATGTGTTATTGTCTTTTCTGTTCTTATGACCAGTGATCCATATATATTTATTTGAGTAAAATGTATTATCCCACTCAATTTAAAATTGAGTTCACTGACCATTTTCTCTGAGTAAAACTTTAAATGTGTGTGTGTGTGTTTTAGAAAGATAGGAATTAAAGAATTTTGAAACGGTTCATAAGCTTTTCCTTTTCTGATTACATATTATGAAGGCAAAAATTATAATTTCAGTGTTTAACTGAACACTGGTGTTTTAGTGGAATTAAGAAAGGCATTTGTAAATGTTTCTGGGACAAAATTTTTTCTGTTACTCAATTACTAAACAAAAATAGTGGAGAATTTTAAAAATTGTGTAAGTATTTGTGATACAGTCATTGGATAAAATGCCTTGTTTGTCAATTACTGAAACATTTCCAATACATCAGAGTAGTTTCTAAACCTAAACTCTATATTTATGATTATTAATTTCCCAGGGTCACAGTTAAATTTGTACTATGTGTATGTTAGAAGATATGTTTTTCCTGTCATAAAATAAAAGTTGTGTATGAATAGGTATGAACTTTGCATTCCTTTAAAACTCTGGAGTTTATCATCTCAGCAATTAAAAATATCATTGACTTAGAGTGAGAGACCTGAAAGAAACCTTAGTGTTTATCGAAAGCTCTAAAAATTTTAATTTGACTTCTGAATTTCTCAAATTCTTTAGGAGTTTATGTTAATTATTTACTACATAGTATGTATGAGTGGATGTATCATAGATTCCTTTGCAGAGTAGATTTTGGTTTCTGAACAGATGGCATTATTAACAAAAATTCACAGGCATATTTTGACGATGAAAAACCTTGAAGTTTACATAGCACGAATTTTTAGATTTGTTTCTTTCTTTTTTGCCGTAGGGCACATACACTGCTGAAGAGAGACAGAAAGAGGAAAGTGAGAAATCACTCCCCAGGGGGGATGACCAGGCCTTAAACCCTTCTCCATTCTCATCTGGGAATTTTGGGCACACACTAGTATGTTTATAACCCCTGGGTCTTATGTTCAAACTGCATAGTCAGCCGTGTGAGATCCAGTCCCCTTAACCTACATGCCACCAGCTCGCTCTTTAGGTTTATTTCTTATTTGCTTTTACTTTATAACACTACTCTTCTGACTATATTTAGTAAATAATTTTTGATAAATTTTATCTACTCAAATAAGATGTTCTTGATAGGTTTATCTGTTTAAATAATTATATCAATAACTATTATCTCTTTCTCTGTGAACACCAAGCCCTGAAGATAGACTGAATTACAGGTAATTTGAAATAGACAGTATTACATGATACAGGATAGAACAGTTCTCAGCCTTGAAGGTCACTTTATTTTCTTGTCATTAATGCACAAAGGTATGATTTCACATAAGATTGTTGTCTTTTCAGAGAATGCTTACCTTGGGCATTTTTAAACTTCTCAGATTGGCAAAGATTAAGAAAAAAAATGTTTACTTATTGTAAGGTGGGCAGAAGAAAATACACATTCTTACATGTTATTTGTGTAGTGCAAACTAAGACAATTTTTATAGAGCCATTTGGCAATATTTGTCAAAAATTTAAAATCTCATACCTTTTGATCAAGTAGTTCCACTTCTAGGAATTTATTCTCCAGACATATAAATGTAATATATACAAAGTTATTTGCAGAGACATATAGTAGCAAATTATCAGAAATGACATAAATAGATGGCACACACATACCAAGGAATATCACAGTTTGTAAAAAGTGAATCTATTATACTGAGATGAAAAGTTTTTGAAGATTTGTTAAGTGAAAAATCAAGTTGCTGAATTATGTATATAATGATGGTTGTATAAAAAGAAGCAAGTGGGGGGGGAGAGAAAACATATTAACCTAAATGGATACAATGTGGAAGACTTTACTTACAGGGAGTAGAGGTGGTACCGGAAAGACAGGAGAGGAAAATATTTTTCACTATGTGCTCATCAGTACCATATTATTGTGTTTTTCATTTTCATAAATATAATTTTAAAGTGTTCTAAAGTGAAAACAACAGGAAATGAACAATTCTTTGTAAAGCAATAAATAGTTAGGCATCAGATGTCATCATATTAGTAAGGTATGAAAAGCCATAGAATCCAGGATTTTTGTTATTGTTTCTGATTTTATAAGACAGTTTCCTCTTTCAACAATTTTAATATTGTTACATCTTTCAGTTTCTGTCATGAAGTATAGACATTAGTTATATATATATATATATTTTTTTTTTTTGAGAGGTTTTCGCTATAGGGCGCATGCACTCGTCAGACAGACAGAGAAACATAGAGACAGAAAGCGAGAAATCACCCCCCCCCCCAGGGGGGGTGGTCATGCCGCAATCCCTTCTCCTCCATTCTCCTCTCAGGATCTTGGGCACGCACGCACAAGCGCCCGGTGTGAGTTTTAAGCCACTGGGTCCGGGATGCGAACCGCGGTGGACTACGTGGGAGTCCAGCAACATAGCCATTATGCTAACTGCTGGTTCCTGACATTAGCTATATTTTAAGCAGGACATACAATACCTGTTTTTTGTAGTGTAGCTTGTTTTGCTTAGCATTAAATCCTCTATTCATCCACTTTGTAGCAAATGTCAGGATCTCATTTTTTTTCTGACTGAGTAGTATTCCATAGTGTATATGTGCCACAGTTTTTCAATCTAGTCTTCACTTCTTGGGCATTTAAATTGAGTCTGTGTCTTAATTGTGAATAATGCTCCAATAAACATAAAAGTGTAAGTATCAGATTGAGTGTTTACCTCTCCTTTGGGTAAATACTCAGGAGTGGTATTACCGGGTCATATGGTAGTTCTATTTGTAGATTTTTGAAGTACCACCATATTGTTTTCCACAGTGGTTGAACTAATCTGCATTCCCACTAACGTGTAGGAGGATTTCCTGTTCGCCACAACTTTGCCACAGTTGTTCTTTATTTTTCTGATTGTAGCCATTCTGACTGGGATTAACTGGCATCTCATTATGGTTTTGATTTGTATTTTCCTTATAATGAAAGATGTTGGGCATTTTTTCATATGCTTTTTGGCCATTCATATATCTTCTTTGGAGAGTTGTTTATTAACTATTTTTCAATTGGGTTGTTATTTATTTATTTATTTTGCAGGTAATCAGTTCCCTATATATTCTGGTTACCACTGTTTATCTGAACCATAGTTTGCAAATATTTTCTCCCATTCTGAGGAGTGTTTCTTCATTCTGATTATTTCCTTTGCTGTGCAGAAGTGTTTTACCCTGATGTAGTCCCACTTCTCCAATTTTGGGATTATTGCCTATGCTATTGGGGTATTATTTAAGATATCTTTACCTATGTTAGTGTCTTCAAGAGTTTTCCCTGTGTGTTCCACCAATAGTTTTATGGTT